AAAAATGGTGACCAAACTTTTTTCTTTCCCCCCTCCTCTTCCTCCTCCTCTCCCCCTTGAAGAAATAAAAAATAAAAATCAAACCGTGTTTTAATTTCGATTATGGATGTTTCTGTGTTTCTTTTTGTCTTTCTTTCTCTTCCTCCTCCCTTCCTCCCCTTTCTTTCCTTCCACTTCATTGGGATGATCTTTCCCTGTTGCTTCTGATGTTTCTTTCTTTTTCTCAGTGTGTGCCTGCCTACCTGGACTAGGGGGAAGATAAGGTAATTTTGAAGGGCTTGAGGAAGCGGCTTACCTGTTTTGAAAACTTTTTTTTGGAGATTTCTTTTTAAGAGTCATGTGGAAATCAGTAATTGAAGAGAGTTTGGTAGCAGCTGGGCAGGTTGAAATTTAAGTGTTATGTGCTGAATGCCTTGGGAATTTGATCTGCTTTATACCAAAGAAGAACACAGAGAAAAGTATTTATTTATTGGGGGAAAGGCGGGGTGGGGGGGGAAGGAAAGCGGGTTAAGGGAGGGGGAGGGAAGTGGTTTTGGAGACAAGAAGTGAAGCTGCCTGTTTTCCAGTAAGTAATGGAGAAATTCCAGGAGCCAGGGCTAAATATACTTGGCGATCAATACAGAAATGGCTCATTGTGAATAATTTAGCTGCCTGGTGCAGTGAGAGTTTTGAAACTAAAGGCAAAAAAGAGGCCGTGGAGGGAGAGAGGAAATAAAATTCTCCTCTGGTCATGTCAGATTCTTAACTTTTCCACTTAAAAGAACATAGTTATGATTATTGATCTCTCTCGTTTTTTTTTTTTTTTTTCCCCCCTCAATATATATCAAATGATAGCTAGGGGGTGTCATTCTATACAGTTACTTGGGTTTCTGGAAAGTAATAGCTTGTTCTGTGTCAGCAGAGTGCTTCCAGAAACTTTAAGATTGCTTCACGCCACAAAATGCATGATCTGGGAGTATTAAGTGTGACGTTCGGCCCCACGCTGTGGCAGATAAATAGGGTTAGAGTGAACAGGTGCGTGTACAGGTGTGTGAGCACGTACGGTGGTGTGAGACAAAGAGTTGTAATAACTCTCTCGAAGGGGCACGGACACGGGAGGGCTTTATTTTGTTTGGATGAGGATGGAGTCTCTTGGAGCGCGTGTGAAAAGAGCAATTGTTAATTGTATCCATCTCCTCAAAGTCTGTTCTGGCTGTGAGAGCTGATAATTGATAAAGCATTACCATCCCGGCTTGAACAAAACAAGTGGAAAGTTGGGGAAAAAACTCTCAGATCAGGTAAAAATGCGAGCGGGGGACAGAGAAGGGGTATGGTCAGATCAAGATGATCCCAGTGCTGCCTGCCCAGGAGGCAGCTGATTTTCTCTACTCAGATGGTTTGCAGGAAGAGTTCAGTGATTTGCAAATGAGCACATGCAGTACACTTGTGTGTTTCTCTAGGCAATGGTTGCAACAGCAGTAAAATGGGCAACTACTTAGGGCTTTAAGTAAGTTTAGTCATTTAATGGTTGATACTGACAGGCGTCTTTGAGGGTGTACTTTTCTGCCTTGCAGCACTGCACTTTGACTATGGAAGCAGAGGCTGCTGATGGATATATAACATGTAAGTAGTCATTTCATTTGATTATTCTGAATTACTTTCCTTTTCCCACTATCCTTTCTATAATGCAGACGCCTGAAACTTTAGCTTCCTTGTGTATGGTCTTTGCACTGAGATGGCGCTGAATTAATAGCATTTAAACATAAACTTTGTGTGTGACTGAAGAATGCATGGGGAGGGGTGCATGGGTGAGTAGCTCTAGGTTTAAATACTTAGCGAGGATGAATGAACTTTGCAAATGAGAGAGAGTTCATCTTTGGAAATTCAAATTGCAACCAAAAACTTTTTATGCCTTTCACTATGCATTTCTCCTGTTCTCTGTGTCGGGGCAAAATGTCTTAGTTTAAGTGCTTTAACTGCCGGTTAACCGAGAGCAGGGGAGGGGAAGGTCTATGTTAAAGTGCTACTTCAGTCTTCTGCCCAGCTCCAATTCTTGGTGTCTGCAAGTGGAAAAGTAGTCCTACCTTCTCTTGAGACAAAGCAGCTGGGGCGAGGTTTGGGTTTGTCACAGGTGTGTGTGTAGCAGACGGGTGACAGCAGGTTTGGGGAGGGGGCTTTTAAAATCAGTCAGTCAAATGTTTACTTGTGGCCCCTGAGAGTCCAGTTTTTACAGGCTGTGGAAGAGCCTGCTGGTAAAGGAGGGAAGGGCGAAGGGAGCGAGCGCGTCGTACTTGTTAATCGTTGTGTTGCTCTGCTGAAGAAGGGGATGGAAACTTACGGGGGACTTGTTTTGTGAAAGCAGGTGACAATGAGCTTTCGCCCGAGAGGGAGCACGCCGGCATGGCCATTGACCTCACCTCCAGCACACCCAATGGGCAGCACACCTCCCCCAGTCACATGGCAAGCAGTAAGTCTCCGCTTAAACCTCTTCCTCTCTCGCAGCGGGTCTGGCTTAGGCTGGTCCTCCGGGTCCTCGCCTTGCTTACCGGGTCTTAACCACTGCTGTAGGCGTTGCTAACAAAAGAAGAGAAGGACAGGGTAGATTTTTCTTTTTTTCTTTTTCTTTCTTGTTCATGTCTCATCTAAACATGAATGGGATTACTAGTCTGAACTATCCCAAGGTGGCATTTGAGAGCTGGTCCTTACCTGTTCCAGGTAGGAAAACACTAGGCTTGACATGTGCTGGTTTTGTTTCATCGGGTTTTGAAATCCAAATGGAAATTGTTGTTATTATTATTACTATTACTTACTGTGCTTCCCAAAACAGCTTGAAGTACCTTTATTTGAAAACAAACATATTTTATTTACAAAAAGTCTTTACTCTGGCAAAAGTATAAAGATAAAATATCTGGGTTTGATGACAGGTTGTATTTTACTATTCCATACAGAAACTTCAGCATCCTATTCATTACCACAACTTTGCCTTCGGAAGCTCAAAAGTGGCTGGGGTAATGGGAAGTTTATGGCACTCGGTACTTGACTCTCTAACAAACTGAAAGGATTTTGTTTTAGATTGTCAGGGGAGAAATTGAGAAAATGTAGAGGTTTGGGAGTCTACTGAGAGTGTCAAGTGCTGATAATATTTTTGTAATTATTTTCATGCTATATTTTGGAGGTGGATAAATGTAGTAAATCCTTTTTTTGTCTGTGTGTGAGTGCCATAGCTGTTTTACTGTTGGTTTGCCGTTGGTTACAATGTTACATCAAGATATTTACCTTAAAGTACCTCTGTACTTGTATTCATAAGTAATGTAACATGCTTTGCTTCCAATATACTTTCAGAGGGTTCCTCTCTACGTGATACTAATTTTCTTTCTAGTGTGTGCGCTATAGATACGTATTTATTTTTTTAAACTGAGTGTTTGTATAATACCCCACCGAAAACGGTGAAAGAAAAAGAGAGCTTTTAGGGTTGCTTGCTTTAAAATACACAGTGTATTGCCTTCAAAGTCTTTCTTACTGAGAAAAAGATGTTACTTTCCTTTAAGAATTCTTCTTTCCTCCTGCAAATTACGAGTAAAACGCGGTTTTTATGAGCCTTTAAAACTGAGGGTTATTATGAAGATCTCCCAATTATATACATGTTGCTGGAGAATATGATTGCTAATACTCTGGACTGAACTTTATATGACAACCGATCATAATTCAGCATCTTTAGACAATTCCAATCCTGCTGCACTGGGATTCTGATATATTTTATTATGTTATAAAAGTTTTACTACTCACTTTCTTCATTTTCTTTGTTTCCTTTTTATTAATGGGAAGCCTTCATTGGAAGGGGAAAAAAGCTCCCTGCTTTAAATCTTCTTTATAATCTAGACTAAAAACCAGAGTCAAATTAGGGAATAAAAAGATCTAGGATGAAGTCATGCAAAAATACTTTAACACATTCAATATTTTCATGCTCATTGTGCTAACATTTTCAATGATTTTTAAGCTTTGTTAGTTCTTGCAACACACATGTATCTGCAGCCTTGGTGAATATCTTATTTTTTTTAAAATGTGTTTTGTGGTATCTCACAGGTGTCTCAACTGCTTTCCTCACTGCTGCTCTGTGTTAAGCATGTGCTGCTGTTGAAAAATTAGGGGCTCTGCCTGGGGTTCCTAAGCCAAGCAAAACTCAAGCTTCTTAAATTTGTTGTAATTTACTTATTCTTTGCAGGCATAAGAATGTTTTGCAGAGAGGCGGTTTGTTCTGTCTTAAACTGGAAGGTATTGATTAGAGGTTGTCGGCTTTTGTGGCAGCTGTTACGTTGGTTCACTTAAGGTTTTTGGCCAAATCTTGAATCTGGCTTGTGTAGACTAAATCACCAGGCTGTGCTTTAGAGCTTTCCACCTGTTTTGCGGGGTACAGGAAATCCTTTTAAAGGTTCAGTAACCCAGGGGCCTACGACCTCTGGGTTTTTTTGGTTTTTGTTTATTTGGGGGGGTTTGGGTTTGGTTTTTTTTTTTAAGGAAAGGTGGAGGTGGGAGAGTAAGGAGGAATAGCTGTTCGAAATACTTTGTATGAGTTTGGTAGCTCCTGTTGGATCGATCCATCATCCTTTGTTGTAAGTGGAGGAAGTGGCTGTATTGCATTTCGGTATGGTTTAATTTCTAGTGGAGTCACTGGAGACTGATCTACTGTTGGCCTGCCGCTATAGCGAAGCCCAAGGCATGTCGTTCTGGCTGGGTAGGGTTTGCTAATGGAGGAGGTGGTACGTGGATCAGACCCCAAACGTTTCACTCCCGATTTTGCCAGTCATCCCCAGAAGGTGGATGGCCCTGTTTAGCTGTGCGCTCAGGATGTGCACCTGCAGGGCAGAGATCTAAGTTTTGACCTTTGTTCTTGCGTTCCACTGAATTGTTTTGAACCACAGCTCTTAATTTAGCCTTAATTTGTGTCTGGCTCAAACAGAGACAAAACCATAAGAAGCAAATTTCTTGGATCTGTACCGAAATGACTGAGCAGTGCTCTCCCAGCAACAGTAAAATTATGTGCTAGGTAAAGAGTTTTTTATGTTCATTAGCCCCTGGCAATCCATGTTAGTAGGAGTTCTGGCTGGGTTACTGATGTTTTCAGGTTCTGTTCCAAAAAGTTTCGGGTTAAATATTTTGGCTCGTGTTGGAGAGTTGTCTACTGCATCCTTTAACCTATTACCGTTTTCAAGTATCTAGACAGTATGTGTAGGTTATGGATGGGGCTGACACTCAATTTTCCTTGTGAATGAGATGATCCTGAAAGATAAATCGCAGTAAATCGCCTGTCATAGCTAACTAATGATCTTGCATGTACCTTACGGTATGTATCTGCCTTTAGCAGAATACTGTATGTATGTTGGCAGATGCGCTGTTCTAAAATACTTTATTGTAGTTTTATGTAAGCAAAGATTTGAAATACGTGTAAATAGTCAAACTGAATAGGTTGATAGATCATCTCACTTTCCTCTACAGCAAAAGACAAATTAGTGCTATACCTGCTGAGTACAGATGATGCATTTACATAGCCCCAAATCTGGAAGTCCGGATTTTCTTCTGATCTTCTGTAGGAAAACTCTTCCAAGGGCTGACATGCAGAGCTGGACGTCAAAGGCCTGCTCAATTGACTTCGTGTTGGTACTAGAGAGTTCTCTGCATGGCTCTAAGCCCGCCTCTAGACCCCACTGAGTTCAAGGGAGTCTGTCTTGTTGCCTTCGGTGAATGTCAAACTGGGCTGTAAGTGATCAGGAACCTCAGAATAGGAACTGGCATGCTAATTAAAGGCTGATGGGGAATCCTTATAAAAGAGGCTTTAAAAAGAAATAATTCCCATTCACCTCCTCATAATACCATGCTGAGTTCTCACTATAGTTATTTGATATATATATTACTTTTTTTCCCTGTAGATTAAAATGGACTTAGAAGAATGTCCCCTTTAGAAATGGCATGGGCACAGTTGCTCGATTAGTTGACTCGATGACCGCTTTGTTTACGATGAAGGATACTTCTGTAAGACCACTTGCCCAGTATCATATGGAAAATAGTAACAGCAGCTATTAGCATCCGACAGTCAATGACAGAGGAAATTTCCTCTAAATTAGAGACTTTACAGTGGGTGTCCTAGATAACTTTCTTATCTTTGCTTTCATAGACAAAAGGAGCCATTAAACGAAACAGAGTCAGAACAATCATAAATATCAAACCCAACATCTGATGTTTGAAACTGATTAAAATTGTGGTACGCTTTCAAGATGTGTTTATAGTAGCTTAAAGTGTTACTAAGTTATGAGAAATAATTTATTAAGAAAATAAGCATCGTCAACTGACTCTGTTGCTGAAAATAATGAGGCGATTGCATTTTCTCCATGGTGGGGAATGATAGCGCTGTCTGACAAGATAGCTATTGGGACAACAGTATTAAGTGTGAGCGATTTCAGCAGCAGTATTTAAAGAGAACTCAGGCAAGGTCTTATTATAATGTAGCCAATACTGTATTCCCAGTGATCGGGGTAGACCGGGGTGGACTATCAGTTGCACTCTTTTTTTTTTTTTTTTTTTTTTTTGTAACTTCAAAGCCCCAAATCTTTCTTGATTACTTTCGTTTTTCAACTCTAAATTGTCGTACAAGCCCTGTTTTGTCACAGTTGTGTTGCCCCGAGCAGAAAGTTTCATGTACCACATCTGTATGGATAAAGAAATGTAACTGTGGAGTCTGCCTTTTGGAATGAAAATGCACAAAATTAGAGATTGCTTCATGCCTCAGCTACGCGGCAAACAAGCCTTGCCATCGGCAGGGTGTATGGCCCAGGCACGTGCGGCTGGACCTTGCACTGGGATTCTTTTTGGCTCAGTATGTGTTTTTTTTTTCAGCAGGATGAGGTGATGGAGGCTGAGGCTCTGAGGAGGCTTTTCTTTAGGGAGGGTGGTTGAAGCTGTCTGGGCTGGGCTGCAGGGGGGGAACTGAATTAGTGCTTTGAGGCCGTCACTCCCCTGACACGTGCACTGGGGCGTGAAGAATTCTGGCAGCCAATTCTGCTGTGCTCTGAAGTGGGGATTCAGGTCTCCAGTTCTTCCAAATATCTTGGCAAGAGTGAAACACTGCATATGGTGCCAAAAACTTGGACTAGATAACCTAGAGATGCTGAGGAATCTCTTTCCTCAGCAGCCTTTAAGGAGTAGGGTGGGCAACATCTATTGGTCTGGGTGTCTTTGATCCTGCCTCAGTGCAGGGAGGTGGACTTTTGATAGTCACTTGAGATGTCCTCCAGTCCTTTGTCTCTGGCCTTCCAACCTCAGCTGTTTGATGTTTTAGAGAACTCAGCTGTGGAATTTCACGATGATGCCCAATACAGATGTACCTGTGGGTTGAAGGGTGGTGAAGATGCACTATGCCAAGATGAGCTTAGACATAAGGGATGAGCTCAATAAAGTGTGGCAGGGAACTGGTAG